ATTAAGGCAATGCTGATTAAGGATCTTTATATTCTGGATCAATTCCAACAGAGCTAGAAAATTGGTTAAAACCAACCAGTAAACTAACAACTTGATATGGCCAACAATTTCATGGGTTTTTAATAAGTATTTCCTCTGATTACTAACTGTAATCAGCAGATACACGTGTCTGATGTCACAGTTGTTAGGTTGTTCAAAAATAAAGAAGTATCTTAGAAACATGCATGTAATAATCTGAATGTTACAACCTTTTCTTTTTTTTTTTTTAATCTTGCTGCTGAGTGCAGACTGTGCTGTTTCACCTTTTATTACAAAGATTCAGTGAATAAAATATATTTGATAGCTTGGCAATAGAAGAAAAATTTGTATTTAAATGAGGACAGAAGACATTGGACTGGAATTGATATGATTATGCCACAACCGATGAGTCATAACTAATGACACAGTCTAGTGCTTGTGAAGCAAATCCGAAGATGAGAACGAGAGGAATGCAATCAGCACGCCAGGAGACATGAACGAGGAAGACAGGAGCACATCCACATGTCGTTTAGGAGGATTACTTAGCAGAAAGCTTGTTCTTCACAGCGGATTTCCGGAAAAAAAAAAAATTGGTTTGGTTTCTCAGCTACGGTCTTTAGGGAGAAAAGATATAAAGTGTAACCATAATGTTTGTACCCTCATAATACCCTGAAATAAAAAAAAAAAAAAAATTGTGTCTGGTTCCAAAATGAAAACAAAAAGAAGTAAAAATGGGATTCATTTTGGAATTATATAATTGCATACTTTACGTATAAATTAGGAAAATGTTGTTAAATATTAAGACTTTTCCATCCAAGAATATACCTATAAATTTAACCAGATCTTGTTTTACGTTTTCATTATGATTTTTTGTAGCAATATGGGTCTTGTACCTTTCATAGTAAATTTAATTCTGTGTTTTATAGCTTTTATTTTGATTATGAAAAGGTTTAATGATTTCATTTTTAGCCAGTTATTGCTGCTACAGAAAAGTTATTGGTATTTGCATACTTATTTTTACTCTCCTTACCAAATTGTTTTAATTAATTTTAATAGTACTTTTTTCATTACAGTTGCTTTGACAGTATACAATCAGAATCTGAAAATGCAGATAATTTTATCTTTTCTTTTCCTATATTTACACTGATTATTCTATTTTCTTCTCCTATTGCATTAGCTGGATTTCCAAAATAATATCGTATATGTAACCCTAAGGGAGTTTTTAGTCACAAACACAATCTTTAATTACTAAACAGAACAATCTTACACCTTTTCCTATCCTTCTAAATTGGAATAATACAATCTAGAAAGAAACTTGAAGGTGTTTCTTTTTGTTCTCCCTTGAACTTAGGGTAACCTAGCATAAATAAGCTCTAAGAAACTAGATCCTTGCTTTCTTTGGGCCCCACCATGGTTTCCCTAATTGTCTGATTAAATTGTACCTTTTCCATGGCTAGAAGACGGAATGTGTGGGCACTCCTCGACCTCTTCCCCCTCCAACAAAAACCTAAGAACATAAATTTATCTAGTCAAGTAATTGCACCTAATCAGGGTGAATATATATGCACTGTAGGGTAATAAAGGGGTGATCCCTTTCCTCCCCATTGTAAAAGGTCATGACTGACACCCCTAAAACAAAAAAACAGGTTATGAGAAAGAATAATAAATGTATTACCTGCACACGTGTGCACAGGAGCCACAGGGAGTATGAACCCAAAGAGGGGCTTGAGGCCTAAACGCCCTCTTCTTAGGGGAGAGGGAGACGAGGGAATGAATAGGCCAGTGCTCAGGCAGTGATTAGTACATGATTCTCTTTGCATGTTGTCTAGATAAACTCCCCAGTTAATCTCTGGGCACTGCCCTCGGAAGAACAGAAGAAAAATCTGTCTGGGTGCGGTGAGGACTCCCAGTCTCTTCTCTTCCCTTCCCTTCCCTGGTGGTTAATCTTTCCTGGTTATTTGGGAGGGATTCTGAAGACACTTGCATTTGTTTTGGAAAGAAGCTTTCTTAGATAAGAAAATTCCAGAGAGAGTCCCTCAGGGTGCTTCAGGAAGGAGGATCGGAGAGAGGGAAGGCAGAGGAAAGGTCAGAGAGAGACCCTGGTTCTCAGGCTTCCCTCTAAAGTCTTTCAGTTGTCAGAGCACTCAGCGTGCCGGAGACCCACATTCTGGGGAATTGTTTTCTGTGCCCCAACAGTGTATGCCCACATTCCCTTCAGTTTTTCTGGTTTTTCAGTAAGTCCATCTTCCGTCCCTTCTTTGACTAACTAATTCTACGTATTCTTTAAATCTCAGCTCAAGTGTCACTTTCTGAAGAACTCACCAGTCTCCTTAGAGTTGGCCCTCCGTATCTGTGGGTTCCACATCCGTGGATTCAGCCAACCACAGATTGAAAATATTCAAGACAAAAAAAGAGTCTGGACTGAACATGTGCAGATTTTTTTCTTATCATTATTCTCTAAACAGTATAACAACTATTTACATAGCATTTATATTATATTGGTATTATAAGTAATATGGAGAGTAATCTAGAGATGGTTTAAAGTATATGGGAGGATGTGTGTAGGTTATATGAAAATACTATGTCATTTTTATATACGGGACGTGAGCATCCTTGGATTCTGGTATCTATGGGAAGTCCTGGAACCAATCCCCCACAGATACGGAGGGACGGCTGTACCATAAGCTTCCCTGACACACATACCTTTCTCTCATAATGTGCCACAGTTGGAGTTTTCCATGTATTTTCTCTGATTATTTGTAAATATCTTTTCCCCTAGTGGGACTATCACATCCATAAGGGAAGGTGTATAGTATTTGATTTTGCTCCTCATTTTATCCCTAGCACCATGCGTAGTGGACACTGGGAGATGTTTACTGGCTGACTGCACCACAGAGGCAGAGGCTGAGAGGATGTAGCGTGTGGGCATTGATGCTCTTTAGGAACCCTAAGTAAAATGCCTCCGGTGGTTTCATAATATATTCATTACGAGAAGTTTAACTTACTCTTCAGTGTTCCAGTGGGTTTTAGAATGATTATATTTTATAACTCATAGACCTACAGTAATAGAATTTTGCAAATAATCCCAGTTCTTTATGAAAGTATTTTTATTTGATCAGTCAGATTAATCATTCAAAATCTTGTGCTAGCTGCATCTTTATGGCTTACTGAGTAGGAATTGCACTTTTCAAAGGAATGTCATTTTAAAACATAGCAATGTTATATGCTGTTTAAAATTTTTTCTATTTGATATGTTCTCATGGGCAAGCTTTCCTGAATTTAGGTATCTAATAAATTTTAGCCATTTGTTGCAAATTTATATGCATTTTAATATTATTATATTTCTTGGCTTACTAATATGCACTGAAGTCAGTCTTATCAGTTATTGTCATGCCTCTTGACTTTTTATTTTTTCCATTTTATCGTAAAAACCAATATGTTTTGGAAAGTGTAATAGTAAATTTTTTGAGAGGATAAGTAGAATGAAATGTGTTTCTTTCTTATACAGATTCAGAAATGGAAAATGAAGACCAACCATCCCCTGAAAATGATTCTCAGAATCAGAGTGCTGAACAGATGACATCAAGTTCTCATGAGGTTGATTTGGCTGATCAAGAGTCTTCTGAGGAAAGTTCTCTAAACTCTCACCCAGAATCATTATCTCCAGCAGATACAGACAATGCTGCAAGCCCTTCCCCTTCTGAACAGACTTCTAATCCCACAGAAAACCCTGAGACTACAAGTCTTGATGGTGAATGTACAGATTTAGGTAACCAACTTCAAGAACAATCAGACACTGAGGAAGAAGATTCCAGTCCTAACGTTAGCTGGGGTAAAAAGGGCCAGCCTATAGACTCCATATTAGCAGACTGGAATGAAGATATAGAAGCTTTTGAAATGATGGAGAAGGATGAGCTGTGACCCACTAAAGAATCTGGTGGTAGGTATTCAAAAAGAAAAGGTAAACTGTGGTTAATAGACACCCTAATACTAAGCAGGCTCTCTAATGGGAGGCTTTAAGTATGGTGATGAACAACCACGTTCTGACTGGTGTAGTTAGTTATTGTAGGAATCTGGAACATGCTATGTTAAAATTGACCTTGTTTAAAACTGTCCCATCAAAAATGGAAATTCCCAATTCCCCCCTCAAACGACAGCAGTCCATCACCCCGCAACACCTCAGGCCAGGGAAAGATTCCTGGGCATTCTTGGGAACCAGATTTCTGCGTTCTTTGGATAGACAAAAAACAAATTCAGTTAATAGTGGAGTGGGAAATAGGAGTTTGGATAACTTTCTAATTAAAGGAAGTTCAGCTGTCTTGGTTTCGGGGTTAGAGGCCCTTTTGGGAAGACACATGTGAGTATTGTGGCATTCCGCTTATGCTGCCTTCACAGAAACACTCTAAGTGGCCTAAGTGGTGAAGCAAATACATTCACGGTGAAAACAGGCTTTGCACATCACTTGCACTTGTTTCATTTTGTGACAAATGATCAAGACAACTTGATTTGTTTTTCCTTCTTAACAATGTCCTTTTCATGTAAACCAAAGGTGAAGCCAGTGTACTTTCTCAGTGAGTTCTGTGCATAAAGACTAATCAGTGGGACCAGGTAAAAAGGTCATATAATATATGGTGGAAATTGGTTACTTAATACTTTTGAAAAATGGAGCAATGGAGAAACTATAATGTTGCAATATGAACTTCCCATTGGGCCTTCCATAGGGAAAGCTATGACTACTCTGAAATGGAACTTAGCATTATATCCCTGTAGGGTAGATTATAAATCTTTTCCAGTTCATTTCACTTAGAGGTGGTCACCTCTAGCCATCAGCCTTACTCCATCCCATGTCTGGTATGCAATTTGAGCCACAAGGCCCGTATCGCCAACAGCTGAATACGTTTTTCTTCCATTTTTCTATCTTACAGAGCCATGATATAACTGTGGTAGTGGTCTAAAATTCCTGGGGTAACTACTGTTTTTTTCCTTTGAAACTTTGCTTTCTAAAGTTGTATCTAAGGAGTCTGTCACATTTTCCGTTGAATCATGGTTTTTAGGTTATTTTTAAAAAACAAATATTCCTTCTGATATGGACTTGAAAATTAGTCTATGGTGACCTGTGTAAAAAATGTACATAGTAGCAACTACGTATAGCCATATAGCTTATTAATGAAAATTTTTTTCCCTTTTTTTTTGGTTTTGGTTTTTGGTGGCAGTCTGGAGCTGGCCACATTTAAGTTTTAAAAATTTTGTTGTTGATATCTGTAGACAGCCCTGTAGTTGAAATCATGGCTTTACTCATTTTATTTATTTTTAAAAGTTACCTGAATCAGTTCTAAAGGAATATTTGAGAGACTTAATTTCCTTTCTCTTTACCATGACATCACATAATAACCTTTTCCTAAAACACAGTTTTGAGATACCGATGAACTTAAACTATAAATGGAGCTGTGAAAGAACAGCAGCGCCGTATTGTAGTTATGTATATTCATGTACAGTGTGTCTTAGATCCCAGGTAGACATATTCTTTCATCAAGGGATAAATACCTGCTTTCAGAAATTCCAGCTAAACATAATTGGGTCAGTGAGTAATAAATCTAATAGAGAACTCAGTTTGGGGAGGGGAAGAAAAAGAGCAGTATACAAGACCTTTCTTTATTGGCTCTTAATTAAGCCTGAAACCAAAATGGGTATTTTTAGTCTCTGTGCATGTGAAATTTGGTGTAAGATGATAGAACTATAATACATACTGTATACAGAAGGGTAGACATAGTGTTTTGTTCATCTTAATTGCAAAGCTGCCAAAATAGCTAAAGCTTAATTAATTACTTGACTTGCCTTGATTTATAGGACTGGGGCTTGGAGAAAAGGAGCAGATGTTCCTCTGAGACTTTGATTGTAGAAGCCTTATATACATTGATTTGGTTTCGTATTTGTAGCCCAAAGCCATTGTTGTCCAAATCCAACTCTTCCAAGTTATCAAAACAACCTAATTAATTTTCCAACGAGGAGAACTTGATGCAGCATGAAGGATTGTGTGACCTAGGAAAAGCCAGCCTACTGCCCGTCTCCCTTCCTTTGACCGCTAGGGGGCGCTGTTGCCTTTCATTGGGGTTTAGAAATAAATTGTTCACTTGTTTAGAAAACTAAATCCTTTAAAAAAAAAAAAAAAGAAAGAAAAGAAAAAAATTTAACCAATTATACTTAACAATTGAAGGAATACCCAGAATTAATACCCAAAAAGAATTATACTCAGTTTTCCCCTAGTTTACAAAAGAGGATATAATGTTCAGCTTCAAAACCCCAACATTGTAATTGACTCTCCATTCATTTACTTATTTGACATACTGCCGCAAAGCTGTTTTTTCAGTTCGTTAAAAAACTCCGACAGCATTAGTCTTGTTTTGTTTTATGTTTTGTATTTTAAATACCTTTTATAGACATTTTATTTACTTGCTAAAGATTCAGGGGATTATATGAGGCCCTGAATTAGAAACATCTGGTCTACCTCAGTTAAATGTTGACTGCTTAGAAACAGAGCTGAAGTGATCACCACAGCCATAAAATTGTTTGACTAAGAAAGATTTATATAATGTTTACAAACCTGGAATCAAGTAAGGATTTTATTTGAAAGTTAAAAGTTAGATATTAGACAAATATTTAATTCAGGTATTTTCGAGTTTTAAAACTTGTTTTAAAATAGCGATAGTTTTTTCTGCTTATAAAAGTCCACTGAAATGATATGCCCTAATTTGCAGTACTTTTCCCATAAAGTTTTAAGTGCGAAAGATTTATAATTTACTAGATACGTTTGGGATGGGATATTTTGTTGGGTAGGTTTTCTTTTTTCTTAACCTGTAAGAGGCTTCCAAAAAGAGTATAATTGTTTCAAAATAAATTATTTTTTGGCATTATACTTTTCCCTTTTTCTTTACGGTATTAGGGAGTAAAATGAAAAATTGTGCACTCCCTGATTTGAACTTCACTAGTCTAATTATTCTCTCAAGAAGTTTTTTAAATTTAAATTACCACCACACAACCCTTTTTATAGTAAAGCCAGCATTTGTTCTCTCCGCACACCCCATGCCAAATTCATCATAAAGCAAGCTCAGCATAAGTAATTCAAACAGTGCTTATAATTTGGGGGAGGGGTGTAGAATTTAGTAAATATTCCAACCAGTCGTTTTATGCACAAGGCTTCAGTCAGAACATAGAAAAAAAACATTCTGTGAATGAAATACTGTATGTTCAGATTTTATAAAAGACATTTTTAAAAGCCCAATTTACAGCCGTATATTTTCTTATGATGTAATTTATGAAAAAGATGTCTGTACTAACAGGTGCTGTAACACTACTGTTGTTGGATTTTATTGTTTGGTGATAAATGTATACAATATTTCTAAGGGAAACTATGTACTGTGATGTAAAAGTCTGGGCAAAATGTATATAATCCTGTATATAATTGTGTATTTGATTATAATTACTGATTGTAAAGATTTAATAAAATATGTAAATATTCTGGTCTAGTTTTAATTTGAATTTTTAGAATCACTGTGTATATCTTTATACTTTAATGTCTTGAAATTTTTTTACCACTTTGTTTTCCTTTTTTTTTTTTTAACCTTTCATTTTACCTTAGGCAATGAATTTGGGAACATCTTAGGGTTTGGAAACTCAGGCTTGTGGACTATAGTAAGGATTTTGGACTTTGTTTTAAGGGTAATGAGAAATCACTGAAGAATTTTAAACAAGTCTGTGGAATGCCGAAATGTACTAAATGAAGGAAAATCTAGAATCGCATATAAAGTATAAGATATATACCTATGTAGCATTGACTCATTTATTCAACAATGACTTAGTAAGTAAGGGCCTTCTATATGCCAGATGCTATCATGGGACCTATGGTTGTAGCAGTGGACAAAACATAGTAAAGAAGACAGAAAATAACAAGGAAAATAAATAGGAAATGAGTTGATAAAGAAAAAAAAAATTATGGCAAGGGGTTAGAGTGATGGAAATCATCATGGAGTGAGATTCTATTTTAAATAGCCAAATCATTAACAGTGGTTATCTTGGATTATAAGCAATTGCTATTTCCTTATATATTTCTGTATTTTCATAATTTACAAAATAAGCAATTTAATTTTAAAAATAAGGTCAGTTAACAAAAGGGAGAAAGAAAAATATCATTGCCAGGTGGGGCATGGTGGTATGGCCCTGTAGTCCCAGCTACTTGGGAGGCTGAGGTGGGAGGATCACTTGTCCAGGAGTTCAAGACCAGCCTGGGCAACATAGTGAGACCCCATCTCAAAAACCAAAGTCACACCCGAACTCTCCCATCTTGAGTTTCTGCACAATTCAGCCATTCCCATACATACTGAACACCTACCATGGAGGTAAGCAGCATTTGGCTGGGATTCAAAGCCTTGGGAGAAAATGAGCTTTACCAGGCAAAGTATGTGGAATAGGGAAAAGAGGAGGATCTGTAGCCCTAGGCTTCCTAGCATTTAAGGACAGCAGAGGAGGGAAGGATTTGTATGGATGGGAATGGAAAAGAGCAGTTGGAGGGAGAGGAGGAAGACAAGGCCAGTTCGATGGACCTGGGATTTGAACCTACATTAATTTGATGTCTGCTACACAGGCAAACTCCTAACTATGCACAATAATCTGTTTGAGCCAAATGTAATATGGCTTCCACAAAGGCTGATTCAGAGACCTCACAACGTTCAACTGCCAGCCTGCCAGATACCAAGGAGATCTGGGAATTGAGGATGCTTAGCACTTATCCAAAGCGGGGGGACTAGGAGAATGAACTGCTTGCAGATTCAGGCCTTATGGTCTCTGAGTTAGAGGATATTTATCAGAACCCCTTCAAAATGGTAGACAGGAGAGAGAGGGCTCTTTGTTTTCAAGGCAACTACCAGTGTCTCCGATCTTTGGCTCAAACATTTCATCATCTCCACTCAGAATGGCCACACATAGAGATCTATAAACCACACAAGAGACTCACTTGCAGTGTGTTCTACCAGCTTATCACTGGCCTAGGATCCCCTTCAAGAAAGGGAAAAAGTGGCCTATTCACTCTTGTTTCACCTCTGCCAGTAGCTGGCTCTTGAAAGGCACTCCTCAAGCCCTTGTGGGGCGAATTGAATTAAATACCTGGTTCAGGAATGAATATTTGTTGTCGGTTCCCCAAATGACATTTATCCTGAAAGGGCTAGGATTTGTAGTCACTGAGGAATGTCAAAGAAATGATGGACCAGCAGCTTTGAAGACAGTTGTACAGAAGTAATCCTGAAAATAGTTTTTGTTGACAACAGATATTGAAGAGAGCACAATGCACGTAAGGGTCTCAGAACTTTTGAGACAAAAGATTTTTGTGATTATCACATCATTGATTCTCCTCATTGGCCAGAAAAGAAGACAGAAGGCAGAGGGGGGAAAGTGACTTGAGCAAGGTCACACATGGCCAGAATAACTATGCCCTTAGGAAGCCAGAAGGTTCTGGTCCATCTGCTTCAAAGTCATCCTCATGCCTTGCAGCCTCGGTTCCTCCATTCCTTTGTGAGTTAACATTTTCAGCCAGAGAGAGAATTACTAGCCCCAGAGCTGCCCCTGAGATGCCTTTGCAAAACTCCAGGGCTCCACTGAACACAGTTTAAAAACAACTGACTTCGATAATTGATTGTTCCTTATTTAAACTTACAGCACGTTCGAGCAAAAACTGTCTTTTAATTCCCTGAAAACTGGCTATTCTCATTGGCAGCATTTATTCTTCTCTTCCTTTCCTGGTGAATAAACCCATTAATAAAGGAATACGTTCTGTACTTTCTTTTGTGCTGTTATTCATCTGGGTTAACACTTGTGGGCGGAGCTAAACATGGAGAGACCAAGACGTAGATCCTTCGCTGGATGGACCCTCCCGTGGGTGTCAAACCCACAGGTTCCCAAGCTTCGTGGTGATACCTGAATCACTGATTCCGACATTTCTAAATGTGAAATTCTGAGTAAGATAGAGAGCTGCAGGGAAGAATGGTAACCTGTTTATCTCTGTATTGGTAAGGCAGTCATGGAACATTGTAGATTAACCAAGTGTGAGATCTCATTTTAAGCCAGCGCTTTC